AGATTTAATTTTTTGAATTTTGTATCGATATTTGGAATATCGAGTTTTTTTATTACTATAATAATGAGTACCCGATATTTTTACAGCGATACTTTAAATGAGTATAATATCGATATTTTCGGTTCGATATCGTGTCCCTANTATTCAGATTTAATTTTTTGAATTTTGTATCGATATTTGGAATATCGAGTTTTTTTATTACTATAATAATGAGTACCCGATATTTTTACAGCGATACTTTAAATGAGTATAATATCGATATTTTCGGTTCGATATCGTGTCCCTACTTATATGAGGGTATATATAAATGACTTTGTAAAAGGGGGCGTGGCACATCCTATAGGCGTGGAATCCTTTATCAGCTATAACTTCGGAAACATAAGTCTCACGAGCTTGAAATTTGGTATGCAGACATATAAATGGTAGGTGTTTATAGGAGGGTATATATAAACGAGTTTGTAAAAGGGGGCGTGGCACATCCTATAGGCGTGGAATCCTTTATCAGCTATAACTTCGGAAACATAAGTCTCACGAGCTTGAAATTTGGTATGCAGACATATAAATGGTAGGTGTTTATAGGAGGGTATATATAAACGAGTTTGTAAAAGGGGGCGTGGCACATCCCATAGGCGTGGAATTTTTATCAGGTATAACTTCGGAACCATAAGTCGCACGAACTTGGAATTTGGTATGCAGGTATACCTATGGTAGATGCTTATAAAAAGATAAATATAAATGAGTTTGTAAAAGATGGCGTGGCAAATCCCATAGGCGTGGAAAATTTTATCAGCTATAACTTCAAAACCATACGTCACATGAAATTTAAATTTGGTATGAAGACATATATCTATGGTAGGTGCTTATAGCAAGGTGTATATGAATGAGTTTATAAAAGGGCGTGGCCCATCCCGTAGGCGTGGAATTTTTAATAAGCCATAAATTGGGAACCATGAACATGAATTTAGAATTTGGTATTCAGAAATATGTATCTATGGGAGGTGTTCAGAGTAATGTACATATAAATGAGTTTGTAAAAGGGGAATATACATATACGTATTAATCTATTAGATTACTCGTATATTTAAAACCGTGTGTTTTTTTAACCTTACCGTCTGTAGATTATTTTGAAATGGAAAGATTAAATCGTTTTTTAATCCCGCGAGGCTGTTAAACGGAAAAGGTTCATTCATAATGAATAAAACTTCTTCCGAATTAAGCATTCTACCAGAAAATCGCAGCTGTACTAAAACAGCTAATCGAATAGGCAACTAAACGGAATGTACCGTAGTAGACTAATTTCAATTTAGAAATTTGATCGTTACCTTAATTTACCTAATATTAATAATGGAACAAGATTTGTAGTACAGGTGATGATCAATATATATTAGTTAAAGCACGATAAAGCTAAAAGTATGGCTCATAAGAATGAATGTAAACAAAGAAAATAGTTTGTCTGCTTTAAATTATGCTGAACTGAATATTTGTATTACTGTTTTATATTTTTATTTGTTTACCCCGAACAAACATGGTCGACTAAAGACTATTTCAAACGAATACATACTTAGATAGCACATACCCTGCAAAAAATGCGACGAGTCCGGGACGTGTCCGGGATGAGTCGCAAAGGAGTATGCGACTAATGCCACTTTGCATAATAAACACTATATATAAATTTTTTAGTGCGCTTGCATGGCTTTTAATTAGATATTTTTATATTATTTCTAACAAACTATAAAAAATCTTATTCTAAAACAGAGCAATAAATACATTCATTTCATTTTTAAATTCATTTTATTTGTACATTTGTTTCATTAGTCTTAATTAATATAAAGATATTTTATAGAAAAAGTGGCACTTCATTAATTTCATTAATTAAAAAATATTATTTTAAAATTAAATCGTTTCTTATTCTAAAACAGTCTAGTATTTACATTAATTTAATTTTTAAATTCATTCTCATTTGTACATTTGTTTCTTTGGCCTTTAAGTTAATATAAAGATATTTTATATAAAAAAGTTGCACTTCATTAATTTCAATAACTTAAAAGTTCAATTATTTCTTATTTTCAAATCAAATTCTTTCTTATTCTAAAACCGTCTATTATCTACATTTATTTCATATTCATATTCAAATTCATTTTCATTTGTTCAATCTTTAAGTTAATTTCAGATTCTGTGCTTACTTATTCTAAAGTCTAATATTAATTTCATTTTTAAATTCATTTTCATTTGTAATTGGGTTTCGTGAGTCTTAAAGTTAATATTGAGGTCAATAAAAGAATAAAAAACAAAAAAAGACAATTCATAAATTTGATAAACTTAAAATTTAATTTTCAACATTTTTCTTCTTTTGTCTATATGCTTTTTTGAAATACTTTGCCTTTTCAAATTTAAGTGCGCTTCTAACCGTGTCTTCTGGCGTCAATCCCTTAAACGGCATTTTGGCAGAGGCTCCTGAGAGTGGGAACAAATTTTTCAATGTTCTTTTCTTCTTATTTGGCGCTGTAACCGCCTAAGCGATTTTGGCCGAGTCCAAAACAGCACGCCAGT